GTGTGTGTGTGTGTGTGTGTGTGTGTGTGTGTGTGTGTGTGTGTGTGATTATAGCCCCTCTCAATGGCTAGAGCTAGGAAATAAGTACTTTTTAAAATGTCATGAGCTAATACTAATAGCTCCAATTTGAAAGGTATATGTCATGTCTCTTCCTTGTCATCCCTCATTTTGATATTGATATCTCCTTTCTCCCATGGTAAGAGCTCTGGTTCTCAGTAAGTTCAATATTTACTCATTTGCTCTGAATCACTCCACTGATACCACTACCAACAACAAATATATTAAGTAGAGGTCAAGATTTCTTTGCAGTTCTTTTCATCCCTAGAATATATCCCACTGAGGTTGTACAGAGTACTATATTCAAAAGTCACTCAGATTGTTTTTTCTTCGTCGTTATGCTATCAATTGATGGATAGGTGCATTCATTTATTTCTATTCATATTACATTTAATTTTTGTCCATCTCTGTTGATTGTCTTAAACACGATGGACATGGCTTGAAAATCACGACTAGATAACAAGGTATTCTCACATCCTTCCAGCCCATTTCCCTTTTCCTTTATGGGCAACCAAATGTATTAGTTTCTGGGTTATCGTCCCTGTTTTTTTTTAATTTTTTAAAAATTTACAGAGAGAGAGAGAGCATGCACATGAGCGGGGGTGGGAGAGAGAAAGAGGTAGAGGGAGAGAGAGAATCTTCAAGCAGACTGCCCGCAGAGCACAGAGCCCGATGCAGGACTTAATCCCATGACACTGAGGTCATGACCTGAGCTGAAACCAAGAGTCAGATGCTCAACTGACTGAGCCACCCAGGTGCCCCTTCCCTGTTTCTTTTTGCTAAAATATAAATACATATATATTTTTACCTTTCTTTTTCTTACATAAAGTTGCCATACTATATATATAATTTTGTGTCTTGTCTTTTCCAATTAAAAATGTATCCTGTGGGACACCTTGGTGGCTCAGTTGGTTAAGCATCCAACTCTTGATTTTGGCTCATATCATGATCTCAGAGTTGTGAGATCGAGCCCTGAGTTGGGCTCCTTGCTGGGTGTGGAGTCTGCTTAAGATTTTCTCTCTTTCCCCCTCTGCTTCTCCCCCTGCTTGCGTGCACGCTCTCTCTCTCTAAAAAATAAATAAACAAAATCTTAAAAATATATATATCCTGTAATCACTCCATATGTTCCCATGTCTTCCTCACAATTTTTTTTTAGAGCTGCATGCTTCTCCATTGTTAATATGTATCATAGTTTATCATCCGTTCTACTATGGGTGGGCATTTAGATTGTTTCCAATATTTTGATATCCCAAATAATTCCTCAATTAATGATCTCATGGTTATGGTTTCCCATGTTGTTGGAGATGTATTTTCAGGGTAAATAGCTGTGGGTGGTGTTGCTAGATCAGGAATTAGTGAATATTGCCAAGTTCCCTTCCACAGGGCTGTGCTACTTTGCATTCTCCACAACAATGGGATGAGGCCCTTCCTTCACAGCCTCATCAACAGAGTATTGGTGAAGCATTTGAATTTTCACCAATATGACAAGTGAGAAATGGTATCTCAGCATAGTTTTAATTTGTTTTCTCTTATTTTGAGTGAAATTGAGTACATTTCCTTACATTTGGGGGCTGTTTGGACTAAGACCATCTTGGAGACCCTATGGATAAATCCAAATGCAGATTGATGCAGGCCAAGATCAGGGGTGATGAGGGGATGGAGAGGGTAGAGTGAAGCTGTAGGCAGGTCCCAAAGGGGACCAGTGGGACTTAGTGAGTATAAAGCAATGGCTGAGAATCTTATGTAGTTTTCATCCATTTGTTGCTGCTACCTAAGAGGTAGAGAGCACAGCAAGCCTTCTGTGTCTTTTGGCATCTCTCTTCACCACTCTGTCCAAAGGCTTCTCTGGCATCACTGGCCGGCATGCTATAGATGCCACAGCTATCTTTTCCCAAAATATAGTGTCAGGATCTTGCAGTCTCTCATCACACCGAGTGAAAGTGCTAGAAGTCTGTTTCCAATCTGCTAGACAACTAGCTGGCCTGTAGGACCTGTGACCCTCCTCATCTGATCTCTTGATACTTAACTTCCCACCTGGTCTGTCCTTGGGTCTTCCCTGCCCACTCCTGCTCTCCTCCTCCCAGGGACCTTGGTCCATTTTTGGTTCCTGCTCAGGCAGTTAGGCTGTTTTGTGCAGCTCTGCATTTGGTCATTTTGTCCTCTTGACTCTGTCTGGTATTTCTGATGACTGGAATCCTAGGCATTCGATCCCGCCTTCCTGGAGGGCTGTGCTCCAACCCCTCGCTGTTTCCCCACCTGCCACCAGGAGGCAGTAAGCAATAGCAGATGAAGCTTCTCAGCTAAAACCTACCCCTGGTCCCCTCCCAACAAGA